CACAGGTACTCGTTTAAGGCTGAGTCGACCTACGGTTAGACCCATGGACGGGTTCAGTTTGCCACTCTCCACTGACAAGGCTCTCACACACGGAGACGATTTTCAAAGGGACCCAGTTCATCTTTATCTTGGGCCACTTGTCAGGAAGGGTCACGAACTGTGAGTGAGGGTTATGAGCCTCCCTCGAGTTGAGGTAGGGGGAGGGCGAGGGTGATTGGGGGGGGTGGTGGAAGGGTGGTGATGGGGAGGAAGGGTGGGGGGTGGCAGTGGCGGGGTGAGGGAGGAGGGGATGCGTTAAGGAAAATAACATTTTTGCCGAGGGAGGTGTCAGAAGGCGGTGGGTAGGGGCACGTGTTTATACGAGGGAGTAGACGCGTGTCTGAACGGGCCAACGATTGAAAGATGGTGCGAGCCTCAGATTTAATTAAGGCCCGAGGCTGCTGCTGCTGCTGCTGCCTCTGAAGTCACGTATGTTGAACTTCTTTCGCACCGTACGTCGCCAACCGGGGGCGAGAGAGGCGGTGTAACGTGCCGCGCCGTCTCCAACAAACCCACAGACAGCAATCCCCCTCATACCTCAAGTCCTAACCTCGAAACCCTCAAACCATAAACCAACGGGCCCATCACCCCTGAAACTCAGAACCAGTGTAAGGGAGCGCTCGTTGATGCACCATCGCAGTCAGAATGAACAAATGAGACGGGGCAAAACGAGGCCAAAGATACATGCACAGATAAAGTTGCAACCGTGGAATATCGGGGCTTGTGGCCGTTTCGCATGCCGCCGAGCTCTCAGACCGTCTTTTTTTATCAGAAGAATGTCGGGCATTCGAAACTTTTCGGAGAGATAAGGACGGGGGCGGGGGGTGGGGGGGGCATTTTTTTTGCGAGGTCCGACGTTGTCAGGGATTCCCAATACGATTGCTACACAGTGGAATCGGACCGTACCGAGAATGTGCAACACGCAGCCAGAAGGACACGGGAAACAAACTCGGGCTCAAGACTTTATTGAAACAATTTTAATTGTAATCTTGATTTGAAGCTTTCGTGACTTCAGGAATCCATACTCTTTGGTTTCCTTCGGTAAAGTCACGTGGGTAGAAAATTAATAGATCACGGCGTTTCGATCGCAACACAAGCGACCCTCATCAGGTGAGACAAACAAAGCAGGAGAACTGCTGTTGTTGCAGCAGCTGCGTTAGCAGTGGCAAAGAAGCACAATTAACAGCAACAGAACTCACCGCTTGCTCTGATGAATCCCGATTTGCCTTGTATCGTCGATGCCCCTTGGAAAATGCCGTCTAGAACGTCAGGATGTTGCAATGTATGACGTGAGGGAGGATGTGGAATGAAAAATAGATTTAATAAAAAAAATAAACAGCAACAGATTTCAACACTTCCGTCAACAGGCGTTTAAGTTTATTTTAATTGTTACACGGATGATCCCCTTTTAGTCAGTTGCCCGGCTACTTTTTTACACGGGACATCCGTGGTGCGTGAGCAGAGCAAAAACAAATAAAAGGGCACAGTGTGGCCTTAAGAGAGAAAATATATATAAACAGGCGACGTTTCGGGCGATGGCCCTTCGTCAAAATGAAATGTATCTACGTGCGATGACTCACAGCGGATGATACACGTGCAATCAAAGCAAGTGGCCGCTGTGTTCCTGTATGGAGGCAACGTGCCCATAAGGGTGGCAACAGGTGGCAACCCGTTTACAGGAGGAGACGAGAGATGACCACGCGACATCACAAATATCGAGAAGTATAGCACAACCGACGAAAATCATTTTGAATTCCACGCTTGCGTATGGCGTTGTTCAAGGAGCTCGATGTCCAATGTCGAGGTCTGCCGGCCACGACGAGAGGGCTTCAGCAGAGAGAGAGATGGACCGCAGACGGTAGTGGGTTTACGATATGGCTCCATAGTTTGCGTTGCATGACCACAGTCGCGCTGCTGTGGCTTGTCCCTAATGTATCTCTCTGGGTCTCTGTGTAGGTCAGTCTGGAACTTCCTTCACCCCAGCCATCCGTGCTGTCGACTCGCTGCCCCCGCGTTGAAAACCCAGGCCTGAGACTTTTTTTTTCTTTGTTTTCCTTTTCATTTTCTCTCTCTTAAGTAATTCGTTTCAATATACATAGATCACACTGGATGTTATGGCGGTGCAATGGTGAGCACAGTGGACTCGTAATCCATAGGGCACCGGTTCGATCTCCTGTCGCGGCAGTTGAAACATCGGTACACATAGTCTTGGTTCTTTCGGTAAAGTCACGTAGCAGGGGGTTAGTTAGAAAAAAACGCCACTTTTTTCAAAAAATAATTCTTACTGTGTTTTTCACACCTGATGATGATTGCTTGTGTTGCAATCGAAACGTCGTGAGAATTTCACAGTTAAATTTTTTATTATTTTATTATTTCCCTTCTACGTGACTTTACCGAAAGAACCAAGAAAATGAATCCCTGCAGTCACGAAAGCTTTAAATCGAAATATCGGTACACGTTTCTCAAATCCCCCAATGCCGCCCCTATCGACCCAGCGGCATAAACGGATGGACTACCGTTAGCCGATCGCAGGTCACGTTTGGTGGGGTAAAGTGTGGATACTCCCACACCTTTTCCAAGGCGTCTTGCCAGCGTGAAAGAGTAGACCAAATATCCTCTCAGTCGAATTCAATAAAGAAGCTCCCATCACGTGGAACGCGACTAAAATTTATAATTCAAAAAGCTCCACGCACGCGGATCGGAACGTCGGACACGAACCTGAAAACGCATCGGAGAGCTACACATCGGCATACTTTCGTTGTGAAGTAAAATGTTCGTTTGTAAGTTTTCATTGCCAATTTTGTCCCAAGACGATAAAGGCAGCTGGGGGCATGGCGTTGGCAAAGCCGAGTTGGAGAATTCCGTAGCGCAGGGCTCCAGAATATTTTCATGAAAACATGCGAAGTGTTGTCGGATGAATCATCGGACCGATGGGCGGATGGACACACGGACGGACACACGGATGGACACACGAATGGACACACGAATGTACAGACTGGACGGACACAGATGGCAAGACTAAATAGATACACTGGACGGACGCGCGGATGTACACACGGATGGACACACTGGACGGACACACGAGACGGACACACGGGACATCCGAGAGCATGTCAACGCACAGCCCTATGGCTCTCTTCTGCAGAAGGGCATTCTCGAGACAAGATGAAAAATCCCAGATCCTGAACGCGATGGGCGCTAGCGCCAGGCAATGCCCGACACGGGATTTTCAAAACCTAAACTTCCCTCGCGTTGCTGTCTGAGATGGGCCGCATGAATCAGGTTCACGAGAAGGGGGCTTGAACGTGTCCCCCTCCCTACAAAGATAATGACAAAGATCCCCCGTATAGCCCTACCAGACTGTTGAGGCAAGTGCTGTTAGCGAGCAGCACCTATGAAGGCCGGCACGGCACGCGAGGATTGTGGGTGGCCAGCACCACGCCCGCCAGACCGCCTTTGTCTCCCCAGTTGCGATGTTTACACACCGCACCAGGTACTCATTTGAGTCGACCTAAGTGAGACCCAGGAACCGGATTCAGATAATCGTCACTGCTGTTGGCCGTGAGTGGAAATCGAACGTGGGTCGCCGGGTTCGTAGCGCAGCGCAGCGTGCTAACCGCTGCAGCACTGCTCTCTACACATCCCCTATCACCCCCCCTCACCCCTTCCCCCTCCATCGAGCCACATTCCTGACGAGATGAATGGGGAGTAGAGGAGATGTCAGGAGGGTGAGGAGAGGATGGATGATTTAGGGTTGTGCTATGTAGATGTTTTATACATGTCCCTTCCCTCCCTACACGTGCATGGACATTGGGAAGGGCGCTATGGGAAAGATGGAAGCGGATCTGTCACCAGTGAAGGTATTCCCTTTGGATGGGCCCAATCTGCCACCGCCCTCATCGTTATCGAACCGCAAATAATTACAACCAGCTTCATCAGGCAAACTACCGGCAAAAGGTCGTGATCAAGTTGTAAATGTGGTAGGTTTACTGTCCAACACACCGGTGTGCTGAAGTAGCAACTAATTGGCACGTTTTGTGAACGTGACAACCCTTACTCATCGGCTGTGTCGGGTAGCGGCGGTTTAACGACACATCTATGCGTTCTAACCCTAAAAAAACAAACCTTCATTACGGTCCATACAGTGTCTACAACCCTGAGTATGTTCTCTCATGCCACTCGTCTATACAATATGTACATGTTATTATTAATATTATCGAGTGAATATGCTATATCGCGTGTGACTATTTATCCAACAAAATCCCTCAATGAGTCCCAAGAGTCCAGACTCGCTTTCAAAGAGGGTGCTGCTTGAAGATGCGTGGCCAAATCCATTTTGAGGAGTCCCTTGCTTCGTTCGGCCTATCACCAATGAACCACACCGCACGCGCCCGATGTTGCCACATATGAGAATCTATAATATGATTTATTGTAATATGCAGTTGTGTTTTTAGCTATATATGTATTGTACATAGTATCGTCGCCCGTGCAAATTGCATCTCACAATCGATACAAACCCACAGACGAGAGAGGAGTCAGTAGACGGGGCGCTACCCAACAATTGCCCAAGAAACGACCTCCCGTGACACCACCGAGAGTAAGAACAGACTTCGCCTTACACCAGCGGGGCATCAACGTGAGATTGCCCAAGACGATTGAATGGAGCAGAGTCAACTGGACGAAACGCACGGGATCGTGATGGACGGTTGGGTGAAACCTCCATCGAGCAGTGGACTGACCATGGCTGATGATGATAATCACGACGAGACAGTTGTTGAAGATGCAGGTGAAGTGTTCGCTGGAGTTGAGGTTGCGGGAGTGCGAGAGGAAAAGGCGGAAAAGGGGGGGGGGGGGTGGTGTGAGGGAAGTGGTGGGGGGGGGGCGGTGGGAGTGGAGAGGATGGGAAGAGGGCACCGGGGAAGACGTGGAGCTTGGAGCGCGAAACCTGAAGCCATACTCCTGGATCGCAAATACCAATACGGTGTGTCGAAGATCGATTTTAAATCAGTACGATGCCACCTGCTATGACTTAACGGTCCAGGTCACGTGGTCATTGCCGGAACAAGATGATTGAAGCAAACCATTTAAGCGTGGGCGGGTAAAACGTGGGGAGATGAGTGCTTCGAATGCACATTGAGAGGCAGAAGGAGGAGCGCGTGGATTAATGAGAGAACACGAGCAGGTTAACAGCATCAATAAACCTGTGAACAAAGGTGAGAATCAGAATCTGTATTTAGACTGGAGAAATCCGATGAGCAATGAAGCTCTTTTTTTAACACGTGTCCAGTATGGGCGGGTGTTGGGCAAGGACGCGTCGTGGAGTTGCAGCCAAGGAATGGAACGCGTCCGAGAAGACGTCGACAGAGGAGATGGAGCGATTGTGTCAGTGATTGCATCGCGGAATCGTGAGTGGTGACACACACCTTGGGGGAGATATTAATCCAGCAGGGGATTGACCCTGGCTATTGATAATTATGAATCCTTAAATCCTGGATTTTAGCGTCTGGAATTAGCGAGAGTCTAAAACCCTGAGCCAGGAGCTGTCCTCCAGAATCCAAATACGTAGTCGGCAGAGGCTCGTTCGTGCATTACATTCCTGAATTCAGGATCCTGGAGCCAGGATTTCCGCATAAAAACCACGACTCACCCTTGGTCTCCACCACACGTGTCTCCCCTCTGCAACAGCAGCTGTAGCATCAGCAGCAACAGCAGCAGTGGCATCAGTAGCAGAAGCAGCATCAGCAAAAGTAGCATCAGCAGTTGCGAAATAATTTCAAAGCAAAGCATCCCCCAGTCTTCAAGACCTCCACAGATGATAGACTTCCATCGCCATCGATGTCATAAGTTGACCTCAATTAAATTAGCTTAACTTTCCATTTCATTTTTTTGCGAATACGTTAACGAAAACGCTTGTAATTGGTGTTTTAAAGCGTTCATTATTTTTGGTTAATATTAAACGAAGCCTTTTTTAGGGTTAATTTTTAAGACTGGATTCGGGTGCAGGTGACAGAAGAGACAGCCATGCGGTGCTTGGGGAGTCTCCTGCTGCTTACAGGTGAGTGACGCATGCATGTTGAACTTCTTTCGCACCGTACGTAGCCAACCGTGCCCATCGGAAGAGCAACGTGTGCGCGGTGTTTGTGTAATGTGCACCTAGCCTGGCACAAGCATGCAGGGAAGTCGTCGCCACTTAGTAACGAATTGCTGCTGCTGTTGCTGTGTGTGTATGTCTATCTGTGTGTGTATATGGAAGCGGTAGTCTAGCGGTTAGCGCGCTGCGCTATGAACCTGGCGATCCGGGTTCGATTCCCGCGCACGGCCAACACCAGTGACGATTATCTGAACCGGTCCCGGGCCTCCCCTAGGTCGACTCAGCCTCAAATGAGTACCTGGTGCAGTGTGTAAACATTGCCACTAGGGAGACAAAGGCGGTCGGGCGTGGTGCTGGCCACCCACCCCCTCGTGTACCGTTCCGGCCTTCATAGGTGCTCGCTAACAGCACTTGCCCCTACAGTCTGTTAAGGCTATATGGGGATCATTGTTTTTTTGATCTTTGTGTATCTGGGAGCGGTGGAGCAGTGGTTAGCGCGCTGCACTTCGAACCCTGCGATCCGAGTCAGATGCTCGCTCACGGCCAACACCAGTGACGATTATCTGAACCGGTCCTGGACCTCCCCTAGGTCGACTCAGCCTCAAATGAGTACCTGGTGCGTCGTGTAAACATTGCCACTCGGGAGACAAAGGCGACCGGGCGTGATTCTGGCCATCCATGGTGCTCAAGGACTAGTGCTTGTTCAAGTCGGTTATGGCTATACGGGGAATCTTTGTCTTTTCATGATTGTGTAGTGGGGAGCAGTAGTGCGGTGATTAGCTCACTGCGCAACGACAATCGGCGACCAAACTTCTATTCCCTTACGTGAACGAGTGCCTGTTGCGGTGTGGTGTGAACATTACCACTGGGGAGACAAAGGCGGCCGGGCGTGGTGTCATCCACACCGGTCTTAATAGGTGTTCGCTCACCGTGCATGCTAGCAGCGGTTCGTAAGGCTTTAATGGTCTGTCTTTGTGTCCATTACAAAGCTGCGTATTCATAACGGCGGATTCGCAACTGACCAAGTCCCTTCTTTTATGTTCGTCACCGCTCCTCCTTTAGCTCATTGACGTCGTTATAATTCACAGGACCCCCTTAGTCAATGTGGGTCAGCCTCGTGCCATTGTGACGCTAACGCACCTGTCAGTAGCAGATGAGCATCTCCGCACGCACGCACTGCGAACATCGGCAGCAGCGCGTCACACGTTTCCGTTCCGGAGAAAAAGTAATTACCAGGGGGGTGGAGTTGGGGAGCGGTGGCGTAGCGGTTAGCGCACTCGCGCTATGAACCCGGTGAGCCCACGGTGAACTCGTCGGCCACGGCTTACGTGAGTGGTGGTGAGCGTGGTGTGAAGTATGGTCAAACAACACCCATGGCGTGGAAGATGCCTTCACCCAGCAGTTGGGATTGACGAAAGGCTGTACATTATTATTATGATTTTCATAATCTAAAAAACAAATCTAATGTGTTTATCCAGAGAAGCCTAACTGAGTCTCCAGATAGTTTATTTTTTTCCAGGAGGTTTCTGCATCGCAATGTTTGGCCAGTTGCATTCTTGTTGTGATGAACGATTTAGTGATGCTGCTGCATTGGCAGCGGTGCACAAGCTCAAACAAACAACAACAAACACTCAACACACTCGTCAACAATACCGTGACCTTAAATTGAAATACACGCATAATAGGCAACGTAAAAGGCAGTGTTCACTAATTTTCGTTGGGGGGGGGGGGGGGAACTTTTCGCCGATAAGACATCGTCAGTGCGACGGCCGCCACACGTTTGAAACCGCTGTGGGTTTGATAGGAGCACCACGACGACGATGATGATGGGGGTGGGGGGGTGTTTTCACATTTGTCTACTGGTCGTGAGTTCCGCACGTTAGGAGCCGCACTAAAGGCCAGCGGTGACACGCGGCCCTTACAATGAAGACCACCGGCTTAAGCCAATGGTCCCTTCGACAGATCCGTTCACACCCCCCTCTTTATTTCGCTATTAAAAGCCAACACACAGCGCTGACGTGCACCTGCGCCCGCCTGTTTCCGCTCGCCTCTTGCTCCCACAAATTTGCACTTCGTATTTTTCGATTCGGGTGTGCTTTTTGTCACCGTCGTAGTAAAATTCGTGAGCTCACTTGCACCTCTACCGAACTTCTTCCGCCGCCTTTTGCCCTCGTTATCATGTGTGCTCCGCGTTTTTCGATGCGCGCGTGTGCCTCGCTTGTTAGTCGTTGAGCTCTATGCCGTGTACTCCTTCTCTGCAATAGCCACGTTTCTGTCTTTGCTTTGTTGCTGCTGCTGCTGTGCTGACGCAGCACCAAGGATCTCCCCGTGTGTAGAATAGCCGAGCAGCTGGCTAAAATCAAACACTCAAACTCAATACAACGCCCTTCATTAGTAGGACGGGGAGAGGGGGGGGGTGTTTTTTGGCGTTCCGATGATCTTGAACTGGTGTGTACCTAGAGAAACCCCGCCACGCTCACGAAACGGTAACGCTGAAAGTCCCACACAGACAGGTTCACGAACCCACTTTATGTACCGCGGTACAACTACCGGCAATCACCTGGCAGCCTCCTTAGCTTGGGAGAATTTCGTCAATCTCCCCCCCCCCCCGACCATCACCCCGTCCCCTCGTGATTCACCAACCCTTTACCTCCATGGCGTTGGGGATCCTAGGCGGGTATTGCCGCCGTTACGGGAATGACCATCAGCAGGCCAGGGCTGGCCATGGGGCAGCAGACAGATGCCCGGTGGGACTGGTCCATTCCGAGGGTTGGTCTGTGTGGGGAAATTTAAAAGGTGATCAGAGTAAAAATATATATCTATTTTTAAATCTAATATTTTGTATTACCTCTAATTTCTACGCTTCGTTGCTTATTTACGCTGTCAGTTGGCATTAAAGTTCCCATATTCAGCAGCACCCAAAGATTCTTCCTCACCGGGCCATTTGTGGGTTCGTAGTTTTTTTATATTTTGGACCCAGCCCAAAAGGGACCAATGAGACTGCGCGGCGATTTGTGCCCCGGTGTCTTTACAAAAATGCCTCCAGGCAGATTTTTTAGTCCCAGTCCTTCACAGGTATCCATCAGATCGCTCCTCACATAGGAGAGCCCGCGTGTCTTTTACCCGACGCGTTATTCGGTGACCCCTGCGATGGAAGTGGAGCACAGAACCGCCAGGTCAACATGGTGTGGCCACGTGCAGTCTTCGACTCTTGTTATCCACCCCGTCTCTCTGGCTTCTCTACGTGTGTGCTATGCCCGAAACGTCACCTATAATATGTTTTCCCGAGTTTTAAGGCCAAAGTTTTTTTGTTGACGAATGTGTTGCATTTGTATTCAGATTAGACGTCATCTCTCTGGCCTCTCTATGTGTATGCTATGCAGAAGGGCGATTGCCAGAAACGTCGTCTGCATATACTTTTGCCCATTTTTAAGGCCACGCAGTGCTACTGACGAATGATTGAGTCGTGTGTTGTGTGTCTCTACTGCGCGGTAACTGCCAGATCTCGCACAAGGGCTGGAGGCGTTAGCCATGAATTTTGGTGGTGGTAGGCCATGATGACATCTTGATCTTGACCTCAAATGCTTTTGGTTGGGTTTTGGTTGCGGCTCAACTTTGTTTGACAGCAGTCGACAGGCGAGGGTTGGTGGATCACATAGATAGACATCGGCGAAATTCTCAAGACAGCCCCCCCCCCCCGACCCCCCCCCCCCCCCCACACACACCTTGGCTACGAGGTGGTCACTAGGTGGAAGTTGACAATATTGCAAGTTGGTTCGAGAGCACTTTTGGAGTGTTCTCCCCTCGTGGGATGATTTTTTGTTGGTAGTCATACATTACAGAATACACTACTGTACACATATACAAAGACAAAGATCCCCCGCATAGCCTTTAACAGACTGTTGGGGCACATGGTGTTAGTGAGTAGCACCTATGAAGGCCGGAATGTTTACACGAGAGGATGGGTGCCCAGCACCACGTCACAGTGCTCGTGTTTTACACACCTCACCAGGTATTCATTTGAGGCTGAGCCGACCTAGGGTAGGTCCAGAAACGGTTAAAATATTGGCCACTGTTATTTTTGGTCGTGAGCGAGAATCGAAAATCGAGTCGGCGGGTTCGTGGCTAAGAGCGCTAACCACTGCACTACAGCTCCCTAGTACACACATATCTATATAAAGACAAAGATCCCCCGTATAGCCTTAACAGGCTGCTGAGTGAAGTGCTGTTAGCGAGCTCCTATGAAGGCCGGAACGCAACACGAGCGGGGTGGATGGCCAGCACCATGCCCGGCCACCTTAATTCTCGAGCGGCGAAGTTTTGACACACCGCACTCGGTCCTCATTTGAGGCTGAGTCGACCTAGGGGAGAACCAGGACCGGTTAAGATAATCGTCACTGGTGTTAACCGTGAGCGTGAATCGAACCCGGGTCGCCAGGTTCGTAGCGCTGCTCGCTAACCGTGACGCCACCATTCCGCATCACACACACACACACTCTCTGAACTTAACAGCAGATATCGGCACTGGCAAAACATTCCCAATGAAGCAGGACCCATCCTGAAAAGCAATCGTAAGACTCAGCGAGACTTTCCTGTGTAAAATAGGGGACAATTGTGATGAGTATCGTGTGAAGCGAGGTCCAATAACCCCCGCGACCCCCGGCACGCCGTGGGGAGGTCTTGCTCCAGCAGTGAATTGGCCAACGGAACTTTACAGAGACCCGCATTGTGATCATTATTTTTTATTATCATGATGACGCTCGTTTGACCAGGAAACTCTCACCGAGAGTCTCAAAAACTCTCTTTTCAAGATGGTCCTGCCACGTTTTTTTTTATTTGTTGCATCATGTGCTCTATCTGTAATCCCGATTGAGTTATAAACGGGTAATATTGAACATGTGGCAAATTTGGCCCGCGACGCCGGAACCGGTGACGCAATGGCTTGCACTTAAAAAATATAATAA